GGGGGGGGCAGATATTTGTCTAATATGTGGATGAGTAACCCTATTCACAAAAAAAGAAAATAATTACACTGGCACTGTTGAGTGTCCCATGGTGTAAATCTATCATCAGTCATGTTGTCCAGCGCTTTTGAATCCATCGCAACAAACGCCGCCTCAAAACCACGGTGATGATTCTGCTCCCGTCACTTACTCTTCCACAACTGATGTTTCCCTAGTCCTGCTGAAAGGCACAGCAACTTCGGGGAGCCTAGTTAATATCAGTGACCAAATATGGTAATTTTCATATTTGGTCAATTACATTAGCCACCATCCCTGGCCCCTTTGTTTACCTTTAGCTACCGACTGTGAATACCCATCTGGCAGCTAAATGTAAAGGGGTCAGGGCTGTGTCATTGATTGCTAGGATGGCAGTGGCCTTAATTCACTCAATTACTGTTATTAATTTATGTGTCATTAACATTTGTTGAATCACAAGTTGGGCGAAGGGAGGGTTGTCTGAAGATCTGATTGTTAACTTTACAACTAGGGCTGAAACAACAAATTGATAGTCGATTTCCATTATTGATTTAGTTGGTCTCTCGATTTGTTAGGCTGCTTGCACCTTCTCTCCCTCCCGCTCCCCACATCACTCGTATGCTTGTGAACACTGACTGTTGGGACACTGCCAAAGGACCCGCAGCCTCCTTTCCTCCTCCCCGGGATGAATAGGACTGCTCTGGCGTCACCCAGCGCCCCCCCCCTAGAGCTCCTCCTCCCCGGGATAAATAAGGACATTCCTGAGTCCCTTCCCTGAATGTTCTTCTCTTCCCTGAGATGAATATGGCTGTTTCGGCATCACCCGGAGTCCCGTGAGCGGGGACTGTTCCCATTCGGGACCTGTGGCCTCCCCCATGTCTCGACCTTCCTCCTTCTCTCCTCCCCCCTGGGATGCTCATAGTGGACTGTGGACAGTGCACACTACTTACACTACAAGCCTGTGACACACTGCACACAGAGCCACGTACAACAAAGGAAAGCGGCGGTGCGCAGAGCTTTGCGCGCAGTGTCTAGCAGTATTCTCTCCCGCGCTTTTACATTTTCCTTTTTGTAAGCTGTGTGGGGAAAAAAATTAAAGATGGAAGCTGATTGGCAACTCTACCAGTTAAGAACTTGTCTCAGGCACTCATTATTCCCCCCCATATGCCTTTCTGCAGGAATAAAGCTGACCATACTCATTAGAGGGTAGTCAGACATACCGGTACCATCTGGCCAACCTCCAGAATCTGTGGCAGTGAGTGCATCCCTAAACATGGGCCCAATGTGACCATTTATTGTTAGGCCTATGGAATGCTGCAGTGGCATTGATTTTATCACAGAAAACACTAATTGTACAACATTTTTTAGACTGTCTTTTCACTATTTGCATCTTTATGTCTTTTATTCTATTTAGAGTCTTGGCCGGCTGTTTTTGTTGCTTTTGTAGGCATCAGATCTTTGCTGGAGTAGAACATTATCATCCCATGTTTGTGACTAGCTTAGGTTTATCTATCAAATGCCATAATTCTGTCCGTTTCAATAATGTGTCAACCATCAATATAGAGGTTGATAAAGTTAATACACATCACTGGAATTTCCTGCTGAAAAGGACTAGTGTTTGCTCCTGAAAAAAATTATTTAGCAATTTACATTGGTTAATGGATTGCCGTTTGACCTTTTTTAAATGTTCCAACAAAGCATTCTCGGTTTCGGGTTCATTAACTGTAGAATTTCTGCCAAGTTTAGATTTCCTGCTTTGACAAAATGTGCAGTTTTATATTGGAGTCCTAGCATTTCGACTTCACAAAGTGCCCTTTGAGCAGAGATATTCAGCCCATAAGATGAGATTTTTACAACCAAATACCATACTTTTATGGAAGGTACGATCAGAGTATTTTTTTCTTGGATTGAGGTCGTTTTCTGAAAGGTTTTAATAGCTTTATGATATGAATTAAACATATGTGGCATTGATTCTATTAGAATTTACACTGTAGCAAGATCTAGGACACCAAATTTGTAGTTGGGTTTTTCTCATGATTGGAGAACTGAGAAAATGCAGTTTGGGTTTTATGGAACTTTATTTTACTGTGCCACTTATTGCTTCAATTCCTTGATATCCACTTGTTAAAGAGGTTTTATTTTTCCTTAAAAATGTGGTGATAATTCATCCACTTTACTAATTTCATGTTCTGCATGATCTTTATTGGGAGGTCCAGTTGTTTCCCCCCAAAGATTGTCTTTGCTTTATCCTTTTTATATTCAGAAAGATACAGTACGGTAGATTATGGTGAACATTATGCTCACAAAGAAAGTTGTGCATCTGTATACCAAAAACACCTAAAATGCCTATATTGCTGTGTGTAAGTGAAGGGCCCAATTCACACTAAAGCTTTGCACGCAGCACGGCATGCACATTTTTGAATTTGCAGCACACAGTATTGCAGAGCCATGGGGTGCAGCACAAGACCACCGGTAAGGTGAGTTGCGGTGCCATTCAAATGAATATCAACACACCTAGTGCACAGTACCACACGTTGCACAGTAACGTGCTTAGGATAACTCTATAGTGTGAAAGGGTCTAGGACCTAGAGACCTTTTTATGCTTTCTTCTTTACTCTCTTGCCCATTTTCATTATATACAGTTTGGCACATTTTGATCAAATACTGGTTGACTAAGTACAAGGTAACTACAAATAACTCCAGATTTTTGTTTTCCAGGAACACAGATATTTAGTCAAATTAGACTTTTCATTTAAGTCTAATTTATTCATCCGTATATTGACCAGAATAATTGAATGGCACCCATACTATCTATACAGAAGCAAAACTTTTTTTTCTTTTCTTTTTGGATTTAAGGTAGTATTTAGACCTTCTGTTGGGTATTTTTATTGCATTCACCTTTAGAGAGATGCACCAGAATGGTACGGATAACCATTGTCACTGAGAAAGTGAGGTGATATGCAAAATTTCAGTTGTCCCTGTAACAAGAGGTAAAGGGAAATCTTTCAGTGGGTATGGGGGTAGATCTGTTTTCAGGAAAACTTTTTAAAAGGGGAGTTCCCCTCACTTTGGGAGGTTTCTTCTAACTTCCGAGTTTCCTTAAAACTGGCAGTGGTTTTACCCTTTGCACTCTTTCTAAAACAATCGAAAAAAGTTGACTAGCCTTACATTTAAAGACTGGACTTGAGCAATCGCCTTAGATGTTGCCTAATCATTTATCTAAATGTTTGTTTTTTTGCTTTTGTAGATGCCATGTTGTTGTTAGCTGAAAGATTAGAGGGCCCATTCAACATTGAAACAGTCATGGACCCAATTGATGTGAAGATTTCAGATGCCATCATGAACATGCAGGAAAACAGTATGCAAGTGTCCCAAAAGGTTTGTGTCCAAAGCCCTGAGAAGTTTGTTGTTGTGCTTTTTGTTTGCTGGGAGTATATTTGAAAAAATAGGAGTTCCTACAGTAGTTACCTTCTATTCCAGGGGTTGGCAAACTCAGCACTCCAGCTGCAAATCCCATCACTCCTCTGCTTTTGGGAGTTGTAGCTGTCAGTCTTGCAATGCCTCATGGGACTTGTAGTTCCACAACAGGTGGCGTGGCAAGGTTTATTCACATGGGTAAAAAGCTGTATCTACTTAAACAGACTTGGTAGTGTTATAATGTGTCCCATCCTCCTGTCACTTTTGGTCAGCTTTGTCTGCATGCAATGTAGAGAAGAAGATACGTAAAGGTTTGTGAAATAAAAAGGTAATCCATGTACCAAATGCCATCATGACAAGTATTAAAGGTTATCTATAGTCCTGCTGTAACTTTAGCAATCGGTAAACCTGCACAATGTAACAAAGCAATACGTTTGGTAATTCTAACTGAAATCCTTTCTTGAATACGTGGATGTTTATGCCAGCTTTTCTCAACCGGGGTGCCTTAAAATTTTAGGGGGCTCCTGATGTAGAGGGGGGGGGTTTATGATGTAAAAGGGGGGACTCTGATTTGAAAAGGTAAACGCCACGTCCTTTTTTTTTTTTTTTTTTTGCAAGACCCCACCTTAAAATCTATACCCAACCCTTGGCTAGGTTAAGGGTTTGAAATTGATTCGGGTTGGGGAGGACTGAAAAAAAGCTGTGACTGAAAAGTTGAAAATTTTTGGTTTATGCACTGTTTGGCCACCATCCGCCTCTGTTGAGTACTATAGAGTTCTATGCTTACGTGTTTATGCAGTGGCTCACCCACCTCTTTGATTAAAAAAATACTTGCCTTTCTAAAGCTACAGCCCTCAGAGAGCAGGCTGCACTGATGTTGGAGAAGTGAGCATACCGCAATGAAGTCACATAAGGGGGCGTGATTGTTTTTCATGAATGCAGTGTTGTGGAGTTGTGTATTTTATATGAAACTGAGAGAATATGCGCCCCTGTAAACGTCCAAGTATGGGAGGGAGGTTTTATTCTTTCTCCAGCTATCAAGGAATATGCCACTGCCAAAGTCCAGAGGAGAGAGGTGTTGGGCACTCGAGTGATATGTATATGTGGGCAGGTTTGACTAACCGATATGTTAAACTACTAGGCTCGAGAACATAGAAATTAAGTTAATCATTTCATATATATTATTTGTGACCATAGATATGCTTTAACCACACACCGTAATCAGCATACACTTTTTTTGTGACAACTGCCTGTAAATTTTCAACTGCTCATCCGTTTTACTTCAAATCACTAGTCTTATTCTGTATCGCAATTTTTTTAATTTTAAAAGGTGTTTCAAGGATGTGGACAGCCGAAGCCCCTTCCCCCAGCAAGGTCTTCTCGATCAGTTTCCGGGGCAAATTTCAATGACAGATTTAGAGCCTACAGTCCTGATGAACGTCCAACAACTGCTGCAGGAACAAGTTTGGATAGACTGGTGGGTTAGGTTTTTATTTGTGCTTTCTTTTTTAAACTGTTCTCTTAGTTTACTCACATATGTGCCAGGACTAAATTGTATTGCCTTGTGATATGACTTTTCTTCTGTTTTTTTTTTTTCAAAAGTATTGCAGCCTGAAATTATGACCTATAGCTCAGTTTTTAGTTGACCTTTTGAGGTGTCATTTGAAACCATATTTCCCTTTGCTGTCCACAGGTATCTGATGTGAAAGAGAAGTTGAAGTCTGCCAAAAAATTCTGGTCTTCCTTACCCATTAGTATTTGTAAAAACAACTGGACATCAGGTGTTAATGAAGATGAATGTTGGAATGGAAGTGATAAAAGCAGGTTTGTATCTGACTTCACCCAGTAACCTTAATCATTGTGTACATATATTGGACTAATGCTTTCTCATACCTACTGCGTCCCATCTTGTAGCTCTTTATGCACCCCTCTGATTATTGTGGCACATGTGATAGTGGTGCCATCTATTCTGTGTCTTGTTGAAAGAATGTTAGCAGTAGAGCTTTGGAATATGAATGACCGGGCTCGCATTCTCCTAGCCATTAAATGTTGGATTATGTTCCCGATGCTCATTAGAATTGCAGAAGCTGCTTGGATAAGCAGCAAAATAGTTAACATTAAAGAACATGTCCAGTAGAGTGCAAGTTACCTACCACTAATTCTACCATGACCTGGATAGAGGAGAAGCGTCACAGATATTCCCCTAGCAATGTTTCCATTCCTTTTGCCACACCACAGTTTCCTTCTGCTGCACTACAAGCTTGTAGGGTTTAAAAAGTAGCAGGGTAACTTGTTCCCAACTTTAGAATGCCAGTCTATTTCCTCAGCTTCACATTTCTCCAAGTGATTTGCTTTCAGCATTTCTTACTTTCCTTTCAATGAGCCTACTTTGTGCATCCAGTGTTTGTGTCTAATCACTGTGAGAAATTTCACTATTGCAGATCGAGCCTGATGGACATTTGGCTGGGCTAGTACATTTAGTTGTTATTGTCATTGTATTATACCAGATGTATCAGAAATTGCCAGAGGTCCATGTCTTTTAGAACAGACAACAAATTAACTTCGCTAAACTTGCTCAATCAGGTCAAGTTCCCAGATGTGTTGATATGTGAGCGATCATTGTCTTCCAAATGTCAACCTAAGAAGTGTATTTTATTTTACCCCACCCTCACACTAATTTTTTCCCCTGATATTCTTCATCAGGTATCTGTATGCTGTCATGGGCAACGGTCTGGCAAGCCAGATAAACAATCCTGACGTAATGGTGGATGTCACAAAACCAGACATGGTAATTCGCCGTCAGATCATGGATTTGCGTGTGATGACAAACAAAATGAAGAGTGCATACAATGGCAATGACGTGAATTTCATTGATATAAGTAAGTGTTTTGTGAATTGCTGTGTAATATAATAAGCTAGGTGCCTCTTCTTTGTCAGACAGTTCTATAAAATAACAGCTGAAATGTGGTTTTCCCTTTACACCATGTTATTAAAACACTAAAATGTTAACACTAGGTTACTCCCAAAAAGGGGCAAATATAAAAGGAATACAGGCCTTTGATGGTATAAGTAGACTGGGATCTTTGTGTAACAAAATGGATGTCCTGACAACTTGCCAAAAGCTTTTAGGCACCCCTCCAAAGTGAGCAGCGGTGTTTCCAATGAAGGTTACTATTAATGCTGCAGCAAACAAAAACATTTTAGACAAATGTACACTTCCACACTTGTGTCAACAGTTTAGGGAGGGGCTTCTTCGGTTCCAACATGACTGTACCCCAGTGCACAAAGCTTCATAAAGACATGATTTGATGAATTGCAGCTGATCTAGCCACAAAGCAGCAACAAACTTCATATCAATGACCAAGGTTTTGGAATGTGATGTCCAAAAAGCTCATAGGTGTGATATCTGGTGTCCACAATATTTTTGCTATATCTTTTGTATAATCAATTCATATGACATGGTGCTCACCATTAGAAAAATCTTGAATTGGCTCTTTAAACTTTTTTCTTTTGTATCAGCCAGATTGCCTTATTAGCTTTAGTGACTCATTTTGGTTGATGTTTTGCAGGTGATGAGAACAGTGGTGATGGTAGCGGCAGTGGGGACTGTGAAACCTCACCATGTGGATTTCCAGTCAGTCCAACACAAGGACCAAAGACTGGCAGTGGACAACCAAAGGGGGGCAGGGTCAATCTACAAGAGGGTGATCCCCGGAAACTGCCCAGTGCAGCCTGGGCCAACACTGCTTCACATTTCATCATCCTTCCAAGTATCCTGTTTTTGGTGAGACAATGGAGATAATAGAGGGAATTCAAAACCCTTATGGAAAACAGAAGAGACTTCTCAGTATGGAAAGTGCACCTTTTATTCGAACCATCGAACATTTTTTATCTCTTTGTAAGCTGGACAAAGGTGTATTGTTTTTATTTTTTACCGCGTTGCCACAGGGTCAAGTGCTGGATCTGTTGTCCCTCACCTCACTTTACCTGGAAAATGGACTTGTCAATCTTTCCTGATACTCTAGGTTTATTGTGGCAAGTAGACATGTATATACAGATCTGTAGGTAGCTGTGCTTTATCACATTTCTAAGTTACTAGTCCCAGGGTCACACTGTCATACACATTTTTATTTTCTGTCTCCAATTTTTTTAGTTCCCATTTAATTTTAACTGTACAGAATCAGATTTTATTTATCATATATTTCGGGGAAAATGACCAAGCAGCCAACAAAATGATGCTTTTTAAGTGAAGTGTTTGTTTTAATGTATTTACAGATTAGGAATATCTGTGCTGGCTGATATTGCTGGCAGTGATGTATTTGGTAAATTGACCAAGTGTCAAACTTCACTTTGCAGATGCTTGTTTTTTCTTCTTCTTTGTACCATTAGAAATTTCAGCGAATTTAAACAGTTGTACACGACATACATGTGTCCTGTTTTGTTGCAATTACCACAAATTGGGTTTCATTAGAGCCTTCTATCTGTTTTCTGGGTTCACTATATGGTTAAGCAGTTTGTACTGCTTCATGCATTCCTTGGCAAAATTTTACTCTGGTCCGCACTTTAAAAAGTGTCTGCTGGTTGATATTGCCTGTTTGTTGAAGCATGCAGTATTAATACAGGTGTCTTTGAGTCAAATTCAAGCCCAGCCTCCCCATTTCTCCAACATTTTGCTTAATGCATATGGGCTATTCATAGCATCTCTGGCTCATGAAAGCTAGCTCAGTGGTTTATTCCTAGAAAGTAGGTCCAAGAGGTTAGAACATCAACACAAGCTGCATCTTACAAAAATACGAAAAGTTTTGAAGAAGAAAAGCAAAACAAAAAAAAATCTATTAATATGCTTGATTTTGCTTGATCATATCTTATTTGACTGTTTAAGCAAAATATTAGAACAGTGACCTTATTCTGACAAATGCAATGGTTCATTTAACAATAATAAATGTACACTTATTTCATTGTAGTATTTTCAAAATACCCTATCTGTGTAATATCTTCAAAAGTTCATGCATTTCCAAGAAATATTTATGCAGTCAGTATAAATGTGACCCACAGTGTGGATTTTGTTTTGATGTAAAAAGTTAGCTAAACCTACATAGAATCTGATTTTGTGCATTTGTTTGAAAAGCAAAAATGTACTTAATACATGAATATTTTTAACAAATTCTGCCAAGAATTAAGCCCCAGCAGGTGTGGTTTGCTAGCACACTTGTTATGGGATACTTTGATTAGGTCATAACCTGTTATTTATTATGACATTTTCATACTAAAAATTTTAGAATTTTGTCAAGTTAAAAACATTTTTTAAAAAGCCAGGAAAACTAAAGAAATTGTAAATAACTGAGAAATAGAAAAATGTGTGAATACTTAGTAACTACCTCAGTGCTGAGGAATTTCCTTTAGTTCACTTTGAGGGCTATTATTTTAGGTAGGAGTGGGTCTCGTCTTTTTAATATAGCTACAACAGCTATCCCTACAGGCCTTGCTTGATTGCTTTAAATGCAGAGCATTGAACCCTTTCCAGCTGTTCAGGTTTTTATAACTTACCCTGCTGTTAAGCACCCAAAATTATTTTAATTGCACGCAAAAAAGTTTTTTGGTGATGACAAAAAAAAGTTTAGGTGCCTTTCATAGAGTTTGTGTTTACCTGCTGGTTTTGAGTCCACCTTTTAAAAATCTGTCTGATAGCAAGATTAAAGGAGGTGGAACTAGAATCAGCTACTGGTAAATGAGCTATTAGAACTGTCTTTGTTCAACTGTTAGTATAAAAGCAGTTAAGGGGTTTATGGAGTATTCCAAAAACAAATGAAAAAAGGAAAATTTCCTCCTGCCAGAAATAGTTTATACACAACACACTTTAGAGAGGTGGTTTTTGTCATGACACAATATTAAAGAAAAAAAAAATTGAACAGCCTATGGTTAGCTGTTAGCATTTCTGAGGTTTTAATTCATTGTTTGCTTAAAATAAGATATTCATAATTAAATTCCATATCATTAGATTTTCAGGTTTTCTCATAACAGTATTCCATTGTTTTAAACGTTTATGCAAAGCTTTGCTATCATTTTAAAGCTGTAATTTATGGTACACCATTCTAAATTCCACAAAAGGTTTTGTATTAAGGTTTATAAGATAATGCACATTTTTACTCATATAAACGGATGGTAAATATTTTTACACTATGGTACTACCGTTAGGTTTTTACATTTTAGTAGATAATTATGTGTGTGGGGGGAGGGGGGGACTAAACAGTTATTGAAAGTAGTGATTTGTTTATAATTTTACTGCTCTTGGTTAAAATGTCAAGAAGTAATTTGCAGCTTATGGAATTTGAGTGTGATAGAATGTCAGCAACCATGGAAGTGAAAGGGGAGGTAGGCCAACCTCGAATATCTGTCTGCACACAGCAATATTTATTTAAACTATGAAGGAAAGAGCAAGTAGTTGTATATTAATCTATGATAAACTAGGTGTGAATATATATATATTTGTGTAAATATAATCATTGAATATGCATTTAATTGCCAACAAACTTTATCAAAGAAGCAACATGACATGTTGCTTTCTTTGCATACTCACACCTTCCAAACCGCCCTATTTTCAGAGCTAGGTCCCGGTTCAAATTGGACAGGGATTACAGAGGATAGGTTGGGTTGCACTCAAACATAGTTGGCAGATCTGGGTGGGGCTCGTGTGATTTAGACGTGAGACAAAGATTTTCCCAAACTGAAATTTTTGGAGGTATGTATACATGTGTTAGAATAAAAATACACACATTTCACTAAATGCAATCTTCCGGTTATATTTCTGTAAAATTTTGTTACAAAATGCATTTTATTATCAAAATACATTTTGAATACCATATGTAATGCCATATGTATATATTTCAGCCAAGCAAGCAATTTGGGTATGTATGTTCATACTCAGTAGTTCAAAGTACCCATGTATTCATTATTCGTGTGTATGCCTTCATTGCTTTAACTTCTTAGCTGTCAAGAGATGGTGGACACTACAGGCTATTTTAACAGCCAGTATGTTAATGGTATTTTATAAGAACTGGTCTCTTTTATTAATGTAATTATTTTTTTATTAATAAATGTGCCTTTTTAATGTAGAAGACTTGCTTTTTTTTTGTATTGGCTGTCGTAATGGGGAAAAAAACTTTTTTAAAATATAAAGACAAGCAATTATATAAATAATAACCATGTACATAGTTTTGTGGGGCATAAGTATGTGTGGCTAGCTAATTATACATTCTAAATCCATGTTTGCTTTTTTTTAATTATTTTAGCCATTTCTTACCAAAAATTGCACATGGAATCTTTTGGCCACATTCATTTTCTAGAGTTTTTTTGTTTTTTTTCCTCCATATCTGTACCCTTTCAAAAAACTACAGCCGCAAATGTGAATTGTTTTGAGACACAAATCCTGTACCCCAACTTTCCTTTTTTTTTTTTTAAATGTTATACATGCACTAAAAAAAGCAAAAATAAATAAAAAATGGTGTGCTTCTGTGCACAGCTAAATCTACTTTTTCAGAATATATTTGCACAAACCAAAACATGACAAGTTACTAAGTAACTATAAAGTAATTTAGTAATAGACTGTCGGCCTTTGCAGGGCTTTTGTAATTGTTTAGGTATATTGGACACTTTACATGTGTGAGCAAGCAAGAGGCGTGTTGGTTTAACAGTGGTACTTACTAAATTATGTGTGTAACTGTACTGGGATTGTACAGAATTTGGAAGCTTAATCATTTTTTTCCCTGCATTTTTTTGTTAAATATTATATGTGATAATAGACTGGCTACAGAGTTAAGTCATTTTTACAAATGCTTATCTGATGAAATATTTCTCCTCGAGCATTAGTTCTATGGCTGCATATTGATACAAGTTCAGAATGTATAACATACCCAACATATAAGCATACGGCTTTTATACGACATGGTTTATGAAATGCTAGTTTTAGCATTGGCTACAAGTGGAAATGGAAGTTCCAACCAGTTGTGAATACAGTAATCATAGTGTAGAAAAAATACAGCATTTTATAATGCTAAGCATATAGTGGTCAATACTTTTTTGTGTCTTTGCAGCCTTGGGGAGATGATAAATGAGCAGGTCGTACGCCAGAACCTTTTGCATAGATAAAGAGGTAGCCCAAGTAGCTCCCCACCATGAAGACATTTCCCTCCTATCACAATGAAATGACTATGAAGTCTGTGTGTAGTTTTTACCAATCAACAGAACAGATTTATATTCACTTGCACATCTTTAGAGTGTCCATTTTTCGCACTAGCACTATCCTAACAGAGTGCTAGATTGTAATGCACGGATCAAGGGAGGAGGTTATATTTTTATATATCTGCTACACAGACAACCTACACTTCCCTACTACCCTTTATCACAATGATGTCATATGCCCGTGCTTTTTTTTTGTACTTGGTTTCCTTGATTGTTGGCTAAAATTCTTTAAGCATTGACGTACATTTGCAGTCTTGATAGTTCAGTTGGAAAATTAAGTTGGGTACCTTAAACTGTTGTATATTGTTGCAGCCTATGCAAAACAAAAAAATATTTGGGAGGAATTTTGCAATTCATCTATCTGGAAATGTAATTGTTACATTTTGTCTGTTCTGTATTCTAATGTGCATGTTGTACAAGTTTTAATGTTTTACTGTCAAAGTACCTGGCATTAAATACCCAGTCAATTATGCTCCAACAGACCGAATAAATAAATGAGGATAAATGTTTTGTGTTTTTTATTAATTAAAAATTAAATTGATGTTTTGGTATTTGGTCTTAATGGTACGCTTTGCCCAGAACTGAGTATTAACCCATGAAATGCAGACAGGGGTTATAGCCGGCCTGCTTACCTGCCCTAGAGTTCAATTAATCATTAAGACAAAAGGTTTGCATATAGTGCTTCCGAATATATCAGCACCAACTCTGATAAATTCATGCAGGGTTTTTTTTAGGTGTCAAATGACACAGCCAGAAGAAAATATTTAATATTTAACAACTTTATTCACAAGTACCATAAAATCACCTACACATAAAACCATAAAAGTAGAATGCCGTTATATATTATATGGTGGTTAACACACTCTACTAATGACCACCTCTCCATTGACACTCCATGAAAAGATCAAAATATAGAACATATATACAGTCCTATCACACATCCAACAAATATAATGTTGATGAGGTACTATTCATTGGAGTGGTGCTTGTTTTGACTTGTTTCGCGTTTCATTTCCTCATCATTAGGAAGTTGAGGTGATCTGTAGCAACCATAAGGATATATAGGGGTGAGTGACAATAAATACATGCAACATGGGTATCCC